TAAGAATTAAAAAAAAATGAAACCTAAAGCTCCAGTTTTATACAAACTCATCCTTCGTGCTGTGCCTAGAGTTATTTTTCTGAAACACTGATTAGATCTTGTTCTTATGGCTAAAATCTTAGACTCCCTGTTGCTTACAGGTTCAAGTTCAGACTCCACAGTTTGGCTCCAACCACTCTTTTGGGCATCACTTTTTGGTACTCTCTTCCTTCACCCTTTGCCAAGAATACTCCCTTCCACTTTCCCTTTTCCTTCAGCTTTTTTCTTCTACACTTTTCAGTTGTGTTATTACAGATCTGAAAGACCCAGCTGGTTAGTGTCCCCTGCTCCTTGGAGCTTTCCATGACTCACCTCTACAGAGGGAATGCTTCTTTCCTTTGTGTTCCTCTAACAGTTTTAATTACCTTTATTATTTCAGTCCCTTTAAATTCTTATTCTTTAGACTCTGAGCTCTTTTAGGCTAGGCATTGCCTTTATCTTTTTTTTCCTCTCACTACCTATCACAGTCTGTTCTATCCCTCTCTCTCTCTTCCCTTTCCCCATTATTGTATGTATTTCTTCTTTTCTTTCCTTAAACAGGTATTTATAGAGAATCTACTATGTGCCTCCTCTGTTCAAGGAACTCAGTGTTTATTGAATGGGTGGGAAGAAATATGAAATCCTGGCCAGGAAGACATTATTAACTGTATTATTAGTCTGTCGTTCTAATCATTCTAAGCATGAAGATATCTTCTGTTCAACACATATTTGTTGAAAACCTACCACAAGCGCTGCTTTACTGGGGATTCAGTGGTGAATAAAATATACACAGCCCCTGCTCTTATGAAGCTGACATTCCAGTAGGAAAGTGAGTTGTGGCCACAAAGAGACAGGGAACCCAACCTTGTAAAGTCAGACAAATTGTCCAGACCTCTATGTGTCTGTGGCTTCTTTGTCTATAAAACTGTGTAGCATTATATAACATTAAAGTGTATTGAAAATGCAGCACTTCAAAGGATCTAGAATGGCCAAGACAATATTTAAAAAGAATGAAGTTGGAGGACTTATTCTACCTGATTTTAGGACTTAACCGTAAAATGTACAATAATCAAGACAGTGTGGTAGTGGCATAAGGATAGACACATGGATTAATGCAACAGAGAGTCCAGAAACAGACCCACACTGACATGGTCAATTGAGTTTTGATGAAGTTACCAAGGTAGGAAATAGTCTTCAATAAATCATGCTGGAATAATTGGATATCGACATTAAGAGAGGTACCTAAACCTTTTCCTCATAACATACACAAAATTTATGTCAAAACAGATCATTGCCATATGGACACCAAAGGGGGAAAGGGTGGGGGTGGGATGAAGTGGGAGATTGGGATTGACCTATATACACTAATATGTATAAAATAGATAACTAATGAGAACCTGCTGTATAGCACAGGGAATTCCACTTCGCTGTACAGTAGAAACTAACACAGCATTGTAAAACAACTATACCCCAATAAAAACATAAAACAAACAAAAAAAACCCAGATCATTGGCCTAAATCTAAGAGCTAGCACCGTAAATCTTCTAGAAGAATTTAGGAGAAAATCTTTGTGACTTTGAATCAAGTAAAAGTTTCTTACATAGAATACAAAAAGCATGAATCATAAAAGAAAAAATAGTAAGTTGGACTTCATAAAGATTAAAACATTAGCTTATCAAAAACACAGGAAATGAAAAGGTAAGCCATTGATAAAGAGAAAATACCTGTAAGGCATATATTTGAAAAAGGACTTGTATCCAGACAATATAAAATTCTCTTACAACTCAATTATAAAGCAATCCAATAATAAAATGAGAAAAATACTTGAATAGATACCACACAAAGGAAACTATATGGATGGTCAAAAAGCACATGAAAAGATTCTCAGCGAAATGCAACTTAAAACCACAATGAGGTGCCACTATACCCACACTAGAGTTGGTAAGATTTAAAAGACTAAAAATAAGAAGAATTGGTGACAGTGTGGAGCAACTGGAAATCTCATACAGTGCTGGTGGGAATGCAAAACTATATAGCCATTTCAAAAAATGAAGTTTCTTAAAATGTTAAAATACACTTACCATATGACCCAGCAATTCCACTCTTAGGTATTTATCTGAGAGAAATGAAAACATGTCCACTGGAAGACTTATACATGAATGTTCATAGTATCATTATTTCATGATAGTCCCAAACTGGAAACAATCCAAATGCCCATCAACTGATGTACAGATAAAAAAAGAAAATGATGATATACAATGGATTAGTAACAACTAGAAAGAATGGAGTGCTGATACAACAACATGGATGAATCTCAAAAGTATCATATTAAGTAAAAAAATCAAGAAAAAATTATATATACTGTTCTGTATGATTCCATTTACATGAAATTCTAGAAAAGGCAAATCTGGTTTCCTGGGGCATGAGGAAGGGATGAAGATTAATTACAAAGGGGCTCGAGGAAAATTTGGTGGTGATGGAAGTGTTCTAAAATGTGATTGTTGTGGTAGTTGCATGACTGTACATTTACTAAAATTTATTCACAGTTAAAAAAAAAAGCATGAAGATAATAGGCCCTTACCATTTAACACAGAAATAGCCTATCAGTTTCACGAACTTGAGGGGATGTCTGGATGGAAATATTAAGGGAAAACACAAATGATAATCATTTTGGTTTTATGTAATTTGAACTTAAATCATGTTTAGTATTGAAATCTGTCCTTGGTTTTGCCTTGTCAGCAGAGACATGACTCCTGACTGTGTTGATCGCAACCGTGGGAATAACCACATGCCTATTTGCCTATCCAAAGTAACAGCTAATTTGATCCAAATAGAGGAGGGTAATTTTATTATTGTTTGCTATTGGAGTTGGCATCTGGTAAAAATGGGTGTATGTTTGGAGTAGTATTTAGGTGAAAATGTAGTGCTTCTAAAATATCTTTCTGAAGAAAATAAAAGTAGGTATTCTTTATAGAGCAAGTACCCTCTGCTAACAACTGAACAACCCTATGAGGTAGATGGTGGTATTCCCATTGATGGATGAAGAGACAAAAGCTAAGAGAAGTCAAGTGACTTGCCTGAGATCTCATAGCTAGTTACGCAGCAAAACTAAGATTCAAACTTAGCTCTGTCTGACTGGGACCATGCCCATTTCATTATGTTGCTATCCTGCCCTTACATCCTCATTCTCAGACTCTTGTCCAAGTTGGAGAGAGTGAATTTACCATGGTAATTTGAATTTGTGATGCCGAATTACTGAATTACTTGATCTTTGGCAAGTTATTTAACATTTCTCATCCCATTTTTTTCGCATGGATAATACTGCCTGCTTCCCAGAGTTATAATGAGGAATAAATGAGATGATGTATATGAAAATGCATTGTGAATCATAAAGCCCTGTACTGATGTTTGGTGATGTATTATTAATGCTGTCATTATTACACACGTAAACATACTACTAATCCTGCTTCCTGAATATTTCTTTGCTATTGTCCTTTTTAAGCCACTTAGCAGCTTTTACAGTACCATAGTGACTGAATTTCATTAATAAGGAAAGTTATTTTTTAGATATAAAAAGCTCAGATAGTCTTAAGACAAAAGACATTAGAACAATACAGTTTTAACCGTTTGAAGAACTAAGTATGCTTAACTATTTAGAATTTTCCTTTCTTCCTTCTATTTCCTCCTACACCACAAAATTTTTTCCTGTGTATTATATCCAAAGTTAAGGTTGCAACTTTATGATGGCTTATTTCCAATAATTGATATTTAATGGCTATATTCAGTACATTTGGTCAGAACTTCTTTTTTGAACCAAACATTTTATACCCACAAAGCGTTCACCACTAGAAAACTCTAGTTCTTCCATGAATGCAGCAGAATCTTTTGTTTAATGTGGTTTTAACTACAGATTGACTACATAAGTTGCTTCCATATGCATATTGCTTTTTACATAAAGAAGATAATCATTCTCTTTTCTTGAAATCCTTGATGCTTAGTGTGTAGTTTAAACCCTTGCCAAAAGAATGCTATTTCTTTTCTACTAGGTAAAATTCCAAGAGGTCCGTGGTATCTCATTGTAGGGAAACAGTAGCAGCACTAAACTTTCAAAACATGCTTTGTTCATCAGACTGATATAAAAGATTTAATAGCCTCTGTTGAAATGGTATCTCTTATGATAAAAAGTTATGGAAGAGTCTTAAATTTACAACATAGAGTATTAACTAGTTGATGTAGCTGAACATCTGAATTTTTTATTATAAAATTGTTATCTTTAGTAAATTTTTTTGGTACTGGTAGTAGTAATATATATATTTCCTTTTATGATAAACTTTATGGTGTGGCTTAATTTAATTCCCAAACAGTAATATTCTTATCAAACTGCTGTATTAACCAGAAGTGAAATAATATATCATGTAAATGGCCTCTTTTTAAATTAGTTAAGCTATTGCTTAAACTGAAAAATGTATGCCATTCCCCCAAAGAGGCACTGTGGCTTGGAGTTAAGATTTGGGTTAAAATTTCAACTCTAGAACTTTTTTTTTTTTTGTAAAGCATTGGGCAGCAAGTTAACCAATTTGCACCCTAGTTTCTTCTTCATCTCTAAAATGTGTATGCAGATCCTTCTCTCTCAGTGCATTTGGGAGAATCAGATGAGCTAGTGTGTGAACATAGTTTCTAAATAATAAAGTGCTATATGAACAATATTTTGACAGTTGCTCATTTATGGTAATTGGTAGATAAAAAGAGTTTAAGTACTTGATTTTTAAAAACCTCTCTTCCACATGATAAAATTTTCAGTATTACTAGTATATGTTTAAGAAACATCATTCAACAGCATAATAATACAAACTATAATTTTGAATACAAGAATGAGCCTCTTTTGTTAAACTCTTCTATACAGCGATGGCATGAATATTTTTTGTGTTTTATATATATATATATTTCTACATTCTAAATGATATAGGTGTATGTTTTTATAGGTTTGCCTGAATCCATCATTGCGGCTGCATGTTCAAGAAGTGGCCAGAGGGTTCTGCATGTTGATTCGTAAGTTTATCAATGGTAGCATTTGATACTTCCTAAATACCTCTATACAAAATTAAAATTTAAATATACACACGTGTTTGTGTATATATATATACATCCTATATAAACTTTTTAAGTTAGGAAAACAATTGGAATTGTTTAATTTTCACCAAAAACATGTGAAATATATAATGTACAGGTTTTACTATTATACTCTGTGAAATAGTGTTCTGTTTCCTTTGAGGATAAACCAAATGTATCATAATTTTATTTTTCACATGAGTGATTTTGTTTTTTTAAATGATAATTCTCCAAGAGGCTTGGAAACCTCACACCTGACCATTTAATTATATACATGTGTGGGTGTGTAAAACCTGTATATGCTGTTGTATTTTAGGCTTTGTATTTGATTATTGAAAAAAATCAGCTGATAAGAGTATGTGGTTTTCTTAAAATTCATCAAAATTTAAACTATTAGAAAAATCTAGAATATCTAGAATTTTGTTTTCCCCTTTTTCCTTAAATGTGATGATAAAAAGGAAGTTAATGGAAAATTCAAGTTTAAGATAAAGCATAAATCTTTCCCTTCCTGCTTCCTCCTGAAACAAACCCTTAACTTTTTGCCTATCTATTTAATGCTTTTGACCGTTGTATTTTGGCCCTTTAATTGTTCATTAAATAGGAGTAGAAAGGAAACAAGAAATAATGACTTTATATTTTCTGTTTGATAGTAACTGCAAGTTTTTCAGAATGTCAGAATACTAAGAATAACAAGATTTGCTATAGTTCACAGTGCCTTCTCATATATTATCCCATTGTAAATATGTAGGAATCCAAAAGTGGTATTAGTTCATTTACCCTTTCTAAATTTATTTTCAAAGCATAACTCCTCAGTTATTGGATGAAATTTCTAAATTAAATTAGTTTCTGTTCTCAAGTCCTGCTCTTGGAATTCTCTTTCACTATCATATGTGTAACTGCTGTGTTAATGTCTTAATTCAGTCTTTTTGACATATGGATTCACATGCTGAAAAACTTGCTGCCTTGAAAGCTGAGGTACTGAGCCAGTGTGCTTTAAAAAGGCTTAATAAGAATGTAAATTCAAATTTATTTCTGATAATGTTAATTAACCTAAAATTGAAAATAAAATCTTAAATTTCCCAAAGTTATTTGTTGTGCTCACACTGTAAGCTACTTCCCATATCAGTTTCTTTGCACGTTATATAATTTAACTCTCGTCACAGCTGAGTGAGGAGGGTGGTGTTATCCCAATTTAGCAAATGGGGGTGGGATGTGAGGCATAGAGAGGTTAAGTAATTTTTCTAACTTTACCCAGCTAGTGCATGTCTAAGTTTAAATGCAAATTTATTTTGTGTTTTCTTATTCTAAAACCTGAGATCTTCACATAACGAAGAATATTTTATAAATCACATAGGGTTTACTGATATTACAAAGTAAATTTTGATTAGGAATATAAGAAGCTAAATCTAATTTCGGTAAACAATGAATCAATTAGAAAGACTTGATAATGTTAAGAACTTATACCTTAATACATAGTATTTCAAAGTGACAAAACTTCTATTTTAGAGCCTCAGGCTTGGTAGCTTTTGAGAGTTTAGATACATCTAGGTATTGATTTATAGAATGTTTTCCTGCTCTGAGCCAGGTTTAAATATTTTCTCATTTTTGTTCATTTTAGCATTTATGGTTCTTCATAGTTAGATTCAATCTTCCCTAGCCCTTTCATTTCTGCTTTACATCTACAATAGTACCGTATGTCTCTGTTCCACGGACATGCCTTACCATGTTTTCTTTTTTTTTTTAACATCTTTATTGGAGTATATCTTTTTTTAAAATAACTTTTAAATTGTGGTAAAAAGAACACATAACATAAAATTTGCCATCTTAACTATTTCTAAGTGTATACAGTTGAGTAGTGTTAAGTATATTCATATTGTTGTGTAGCAGATCTCCAGGACTTTTGACATTACAAACCTGAACTCTATGCCCATTGAACAATAACTCTCCATTCCTCTTCCCCCCAGCCCTGGCAACTACCATTCTACTTTCTGTCTCCATGAATTTTACTTCTCTAGATTCCTCATATAATTGGAATTATACGTTATTTGTCTTTTTGTGATTGGCTTATTTCAGTCAGTATAATGTCCTCAAGGCTCATCCATTTTGTATCATGTGTCAGAATTTCCTTCCTTTTTAAGGCTGAATAATATTCCATTGTATGTATATACTATATTTATTCATCTGTTTATAAACATTTGACTCGCTTCCACCTCTTGACTATAGTGAATAATGCTGCTATGAACATGGATGTGCAAATATATCGTCAAGATCCTGCTTTCAGTTCTTTTAGATATATACCCAGAATTGATATAGTAATTCTATTTTTAATTTTTTGAGGAACTGCCTTACTACTTTCCGTAGCAATGGTACCTTTTACATTTCAACCAACTTCCCGTGCTTTGGCTCCAACTGGGAAGTTGTGTATGGGCTTTTAAGCTAGTATACCTGGGTTTAAGTCCTGGTTTCTTCACTTACTAGGTGTGCAACCTTTGACAAATTAATTAATCTTTCTGTAACTCAGTTTCTTGATATAAAGTGCATTATAATAGTAATTTATAAGATTGTTTATTGGATTAAATAAAATAATCAATGTAATGGATTTATAACAGTGCCTGAAACATAGTAAGCCCTTAGTAAATGTTAACTTATATTACTCTAACAATACTGTTGTTTGTTGTTGTTGAGAAATGTTGTTCTTTGGTAGGTGAATTCTCTTTTTTTATTTTCTGATTGCTTTGATATTCTTCTGTTTGTCTTTATAGTTATATAGTCTTCCTCTTATCTGTCAAGGTGTGGATTTTATTTCTATTTATACTGTTCAGAAATTGTTTTGTTTCTTGAAATCAGATGACTTATGCCTTTTGTTGGTGGGAAAACCCTCAACTGTTTCTTCAAACATCTCTCTTCTTTCTTTTGGAAATTCTCTTATAAATTACACCTTTTCATTCTATCCTTTATGCCTTTTAATGTCACTTTCATATTTTTCATCTTTTTACCTTTTGATACAGCATTCTGAGTAGTTTTCTCAGCTTTATCTTCTTGTTCTGGGGTTAGCAACTATGGCCCACAGGTCAGCCACTTGTTTTTTTTTTTTTAATAAAGTCATATTGGAACACAACCATGCTTATTATATACTTATAGATATACATGTTTACATATTGACTATGGCTGCTTTCACACTACAAAGTCAAAGAGTTAAGTAGTTGCAACAAAAACTGTGTGGTCTGCAAAGCCTAAAAATTTACTATCTGGCCCTTTATAGAAAATGTTTGCAGACCTCTAGTTCATTAACTCTGTCTTTAGATGAGTCTAATTTTCTATTTATCCTAGCTATCATTTTCTTCAATGACTTTCATTTCTAGAAGTCCTGTTGGGTTATTTTTTAAAGCCATCGTGTTCTTTCTTTGTGTTTCAATTCATTTTTTTAAAAACGTGTGAAATATTTTATGTGAAGTTCTTTGAGGTTTAATACTGCTCTTTGTCATTTTCTCTCCATCTTCAGGGTCAGTACTTTTTCTTATTTCCTTTCCCTAAAATTTCCAGTTTTTCTTTAGCGGGGCTTTATCTGTGGGAATGCTGTGTGACCTGTTTGAGGGGGTATGTTCGTACTAAGTGGTTTTGCATTTACTTTTGCCTGGTCAGCCAGTGCTATTACTGACCATATTAGTTCCTATTGCTGCTGTAACAAATTACCACAAATGTAGTAGCTTAACACAACACAAAGTTATTCTTTTACAGTTCTGCAGGTTAGAAGTATGAAATGAATCTTACGGGTCTGAAATAAAGTTGTAGGCAGGCAGTGTTACATTCCTTTTGGAGGATTCAGGGGAGCATCTGTTTCCTTATCTTTTTCAGCTTCTAGAGGCCACCTCATTCCTTGGCTCATGGCCCCTTCTTCCATCTTCAAGAACCTCACTTCACCTTCTATCATGCTACCTTGTTTTTCTGCCCTTGACCTTCTTGCCTCTCTCATAAGGAACCTTGTGTTTACATTGGGGCCTACCTGGATACTGTAGGATATTCCTCCCATCTCAGGATACTTTATTTATGCATGTTAGCAAAGTCCGTTTTGTCATATAAGAAAGCTTTTTCACAGCTTCTGGGGATTAGGACATCGACAACTTTGGGGAACCATCATCTACTACACTGGCTCAAAACAATTTGTATGTTAATTTCTAGGCTTGAGGGTTCTTGGTTTATGTGAGTAGCATGTATTAGAACACCATAATCACCTGTGGTTCAAGTTTGCAGTTGTAAATTCTCATAGAAATTTCCCCTTCCGCCTACAGCCTGCTTCAACAGTATCCCATCATGTAGTCTCTCTAAGTATACAGTATTCTCTCACATCGTTATGCCTTTTTTCATGCTGGTCCCTATTCTATGTGAATAGAGTACTCCTTCTTTAGGACATAGCTAGTATACCACTTTCTAGTGATGTCTTCCTTGATAATCCAAGTAGTATTAATTTTTTCTATTTGCCTGTACTTTCAAGTCTTCTGTACATTCTTATAATATTTTTCACACAGTATTATTATTGTTTATAGATCTCTTGGCTCTATTAGACTTTTAGAGATTAGGGATCATGTCTTAGTCATCTTAATATCCCCAGTGCCTGAGAGGTCTGGAATACAGCAGTCCCTAAATAAATATTTGATAAATATTATATATGCCAAGCCACTGTTCTAGTGATGGGAATTTAGAATTGCCTCATATATGCTCAGTGCAACATTGGTCCTTGCTCATCTACAGATGGTAGATTCATGGTAGTTTGGAAGGGAGTTATCTGTTGATGAGAAAGTTGAGGTTTGTCCATAGTCAAACAAGCAGATGACTGGGGACAAACTCAGATCTTATTCCTATTCCAACATTCTTTGAAATATACCACACTGTCTTTGTTGTTGATGTACCTGTATATATTTATTAAAAACCAATTAGTTGAA